TTTACTGCACAGAAAACTTGGAGCACATCAGCATCCCCAGTTTGATCTTAAAAAAAAAAAAATAACATATTAGTTACTCAAAGTAATCTCTTAAGAGATTCAAGGCAGGGTCACCTTCTCTGTCATTCCKGAATTGCAGCCGTGCCCTTCCGACCACACGAAGAACAGGAAGTCAGACGCCACAAATTATGGCAACTCTATCTTCCTTCTGTTTGCAAAAAACCCCAAAGGTGCTGGTTCGCTACACAAACTGGGAGTGCTACCCATTGTTAAGAGCTGCCTGTAAAATTTCAAGCACCAGACCAGGCTCCTTATAACCTTCTCTGAACCTGTTAATTAGGTTAATTAGGTTAATTAGGTTAATTAGGTTAATTAGGTTAATTAGCAACCTGGGCTCAGGGCCTTTTACCCCATACAGCCTCTCCATGCTAATCAAATTTAGCATAGTAGCAAATCCAGCCTACAAAAATATTGAAAGCAAGCTGGAAATATTTATCAACACCAAAATCTCCCAAGACTTGAATAAAAACCTCTAAGGAACCCTTCCAAACTTGTACGGTTGCTTTTTACAGGTTTTTTGGTTTGGTTTTTTTTTTTCTGTTTTGGAAACCAACCAAGAACTGTTTACATTTCATGACTAATAGGATTTATGCTTTCACTTTCCCCTTGTTGCCAGTGTCAGGAAAACYTGAGAGTGCAGGGATTTTGCAAATGCTTCTAACAGAGCAAGATAAAGTAAGAGAGAAATTAAAAAAAGAACCAAGAGGCCAAGAAGATATCACTGTTACAGAGCAGAGAAAGAACTGGTGAGGATGTGCTACACTTTAAGCTAAAAGCTTGAAGAAAAGTGTGGAAAGCATGCACACCACAGCCCACATGACCACCCATGTCTAAATATGCCCATTTGTTGTGCATCATAACATAAATAAGACCCAAATTTAAAACACRTAACATATGGCACATGTAAGAGATCATCTCTGTCTGATTACAGAGGAATCCCACCAAAACACACGTGCCAACCTGACTGAGATGCAACATTCTGTAGAATTCCATAAAACTGTGGTGTGCCAAATCACACTGCGCTGCCCCCATATTCCCCACAGCATATCAAAACCAGCAATCCTTTCTTGCAAAACATAAAACCTAACAATGTCACTTAGGAGCGAACACCTTGTGAGTCAGTCAAATCCTCCATCCTAAAAGTATCCCCACCTGCCTCACAAGCCTCACAAAACCTCATCCCTGTTTTCACAGGTGTTGTGCAGAGCACAGCCCACAGTTATTATTCCAGACAGGATCTATTCAATTGCCTCGAGCCTTCTGGTTTGTACCTGCCATCCACCTTTCAATTTCCCAAAGGCACACCCCATTGTCATCCTGCAGCTGCTCACAGTGGTTCAATACTTATTTTCCCCAATGCAAATATCCAGGCAAACGCTTAATTTTTAGCGTATTTAAGGAGTAGAGGGAGTCTCCAGGGCAAAGGAAAGGAATGGTGATGATATAGGTATTACATTGCTGGCTCTTCCCCAGTGCACAGCCAGCTGTGCCATATTCTACGTGACAAGTTTTTCTTTCCTGATCCTTCCTTAGGTTTCATTCACTCCATGCCCTGAAGCAAGATACTTCCTTCTACTATCTTTCTCACTTTTTCCTTACTCCATACTGAAATAAGCAAGGTTTTCTGAAAAAAAGAAAAAAAAAAAAGTCTAGCACCTTATACTGCATTAAAATTTAAGTGTATTTTAAAAAGGTATTGCAGTACACTCAGGAATCAAACTTTCTCTTTGTCAATGCCAGCAACTAATGCTCAAAGAAAATAGAAATAGAAGCTTCATCAACAGTTTAAGTCAGAAATTCCCCATAACCAATGCCAACAGTAAACCCTTGAAAACTGGCAAGCATTATCAGAYCACTTTTTTGATAGCAATGCAATGACTCTTAGAACAAAGCCATTTCTAGGTCTGCTAATTTGGCTGTGGTGGCCAGATGATAATGGAGAAACATTTTTGTCAAGATGTAGAAGCAACTAGTTTCTGGATTTCCTGGGTTAACACCCTTGCACATCATCAGAAAAGCATATTTGGATGTTCTGAATTTCTGGTGCCACTGCCAGTCATTGCTGGTGATTTCAGAGTCTTTCCTCAYATCTACTACGATCTATACATTTCCAGTGTCTCTGTTGTCCATGGTGCTCCATTATGGATTTGGAAGTCAYGCTGCCTTCCTGAAAAGAAGCAGCTAACAGATGGCATGAGAGGAACCATGGGATTCTGTCAGTTTGATCTCCAGGAGAAAACTTTGGCTGTGCATCCAACCAGGAGCTACAGGCACAGTCCCAGGAAGCAGGGAGGGGTCCCAGCAGCGGCATGCAGACACACGGCAAGAGCTCCTCCAGCACACCGAGGCTCTGACCTGCCAGGAAGCAAAAGGCTGTTTGTTACCATGCCTGTGTTTTGCGCCAATTATGAGGCAGTTACACTGAAAAATGTCCCTTTGATGTGAATCTCTTCAGGTAGTGAATGTTAAACACCACGCACCGCTGGGTAGGTGTGTGATTTTGCAGGATTGGAGCCTGCATCCAGGAGTAATTAGCAAGACTGTGCCAATCTTSAGTCCATGTACTGGACTGCTGGGCCTGATGCTACGGCTACACAGTGGGACGTCGTAATTAGCAGAGATGCAACACACAGAATAATTGGGAGGATAAGGAAACGCCACTGAAGTTTATATAAGGGGAAAAATTTCCTTAGATCTAGACAATCTCGTGTCACCATGAAACTTTAGGCTCTTCTTTTGCGGGGGTGTGACGGAGCACAGCTATTAAAAAGTGGTAATTTCGCCTTCGCTGTGATGTGGTTGTCATTACCTGGGGAGTGGGGAGGGCCTGTGGGCTGCACCAGGGACCTCTGGAAGGGGGGATGGACGGGGACAGGGACAGGAA